GATGATTCGACTCACGTTGATACGTATGCTCGGACATTACAGATATATTTATCCTGATAGTGTTTATAAATGCACTCACAAAACACCGGGTTTGTCGCTGTCTACCTATTAGGAGTCCCTTGCTAGCTATAATGTAGCACATATTGCGTAAATACTCCATCTCCTGAACTGCTGTCATCGGAATCGGTTCCACCGGATTCGGTCCGAAGTGTCGTCTTACCTCCACGTCTGAGAATTAAAGTGCCTTCACAATTGTGACTTGCTGGTCTGATTCTGAGACGGAACCAAAGCAACGCGCTGTATTTCTGAATCGGAATCGATACCCATGGAACAGAATCAGACACAGTTGTGACCCTGTAGTTTTCGTTGTCTGTTTGACTTTGTTTAATAATATCGGTAAGCCCAAATCGTATCTACTATCACCATAATTTGATTGGTTGTTTATATTTTGAATACGATGACGTAGACGTAGACGTGACAAGCACTGCTGGACTCGTGCCAGTGTCGATGGGACCTCCCTTTTTTCTGCTCCGTCTCGTGTAAAGCTCCCGTATCGACCGACCCTGTCGCCTGACTCGTGATTTTCCGGGCCGGCGCATCATGACCCGCCGCTCGCCGACAGAACATCGAGTCGGAGCTGGACCTGGCGGCGGCCGCCTACTTGGAGACGGACGACGGCGTGTGCGTGGAGCCGGCCAAGGCACAGGTGCACCTCTCCACCCTGCTCAAGTGGTATCGCTCCGACTTCGGCGACACGGACGAACAGGTGCGCCGGCGCCCGCACACGGACAGAGCGGGGCTTGGCCGTCGTGGGCGGGACGAACGCTGGGCAGGACAGGCTTCACGCTTGTGACCAGTGGGAGCCTGTGGTGAAAAGCGTAGGGAGATTCATTTTCCACAAGCATTAGCCAAAGTGATTGTGAGTAGATCACTGGCTGGCTCGTGTCACGCCGGTATTTGTGATGAAAGTCTTTCAGCATTCTCTGGTACCGAGCAAACATTACAGTCGTTCAGCTCCGCCTCCTCCGAACCTAAGGTACCAGTGGTTCTCAAATCCCGTCTTCCGGGGTGGCGCGACTGGAGCGGTGCGGGCCATCGTAATACATGTTGCGGAATAGGACTGCGCGTCCGTGATGGTGATTTGGAGGAGTGTGGCAGTGCACGCGGGTGTAGCTGCCGCCGTGGCCGTGGCCGACGCACCTGTGACAGCCGGCGGGCTTATGTCCGGATGGCGGTCGTTTTTGGACCCGTCTGACCGGATGCCGTCATCGGCAGGTGCTGCGCTGGGTGCTGAAGCATCTCTCCGGCGACAAGGCCGCCAGGCTGGAGCAGCTGCTGCAGGCCGGTGGCTACAAGGTGATCTACATCCCGTACGACTGGACCAACAACGCCAAGTAGCGGCCAAGCGGGACTGGCGCCGGCGCCACGTGCCGGAGTGTCACCGGCGGCTGCCGAGAGGGCTCGGGAGGCCGCGAGTCGGCCAGGCGCGTCAGTCGACACAGCTAGGCGGTCCCCGCCGACGGTCGCTTGCGCCGGCACGTCACGGCCCTCACCAGGCACGATATCGGCCCTAATCAGGACGAACCGTCGTGCGGGGTTCGTCTCTGATGCGTAGCTCGCCGACAGGGCCTTGCATCTGTTGTCTGCGTGTCACGAAATTGAATGATTTTCAATCAAAAGTGGAAGCTAGAGTAGTGCAGAAGCACCAGAAAATCACCTGAGCTATGTGTCACAGACTATCCTCAGGGGTAGTGGCGCGGTCGTAGACAGAAGCTGAAACGGCCAACTCATTCCACCTGGGAATTGGCTGCATTTGAGGGCCAGGCCGTATGAAGCGTCGCCTGTAATTGTGACAGGATTATGTACGAGGTCCCTGCACGACAAGCCGTCACGTCGAATGGCTATGTATAATTTCGCGCTCCCCGTTCGGGCGGTACTTCGTAAGGTTAGGACGGTTAAAATGAAACTATTGCCCAACGTTCGCGTTCACGACAAAACGGCGACGTAAACCGCGGCGTCATCGATGTCACTGACGTGTTGGAGCGCACGGATCGGTGGGCATCTGTAAGTGCGTCTACCTGCAGGCCTGTCCAATCTGTGGAACTTTTTAGCACATATTCTCCATTCAACCACTAACGCGCGACCTAGCACTATAATGTCGCACGGCTTCAGAGCTTTGGTGATTATAGTAGACGCTGGTGACGTCACGGTATCCCGATAACAATATAACAGAGCCGCAGGGCCATGGTCCGCGCCGTCTCAAGACAACAGAGCCGCAGGGCCATGGTCCGCGCCGTCTCAAGACAACAGAGCCGCAGGGCCATGGTCCGCGCCGTCTAATTGAGGTGTTTCGTTCTGAGCTATGTGCGTAATAAGTTATTTTGTGTCGGCGAATATTGCTGCTGTGGTTTGGCGCTTGAATGCTACCAAAGATGTGAACATTGCGGGTTGATGTGGGTTGATTGCCATGTTCTCGGGTGTTCATGTTTGAGCCGTCCGAAGGGTGCTAATATATGCTAACAATCCAGGCTAGTGCGTCATGAATACGGGGAGGTTATTTTTGTTGATTAGATTTTGTCCGTTGTCGACCCGTTTTCTTAACCAACAGCTGTCGTGTTTCTGTGACTGAATGTCTCCGCGTGCCTATCGGACCATTGAGCATCGTCCACTGTAGGAAATCAATGTTCTTTCACTCGAGCCAAGGTATTGCGACATGTAGCCTGCCAGGTAGTCTCTTCGTTTTCGCGTATTGAACCTTTTTTGGCTCTGAATTAATGCTGAGTTAGTCAGTGTTGTTGTTTGCTGGGTTGCTATGATGACGCGCTCCCGCCCAGGCCGTCCCAGTCGTGTGCACTGCCCACAATGGGTCGGGGTCGCCTGATCGGTGCATTTTGGTGCAACGACAAGCGCGCACCGGCTTCACAGCGCTCCGGAGCGGCAGAATTCGTGCCTTTAACGTGAGAGCAGTCGCCCTCATCCTTCTTAGCCCAGCTTAACAGCGTCATGTGACAATAACTGAACCGGTGCCGTTTTTACGCTGGCTGTCCGTTCTATACACAGTGCCTCCCGTGTTGCACCTGCGCAACAAGGCCATTGGTGCGTGTGTTCGCTTCTGGTAAACTGGCTGGTGTTTACTGCGCTTCAGCATCTATCGATATTGCTACAAACGTACCCGCTGGTTTTGGGACGCTGTGTTTTACTTTCTTACGGGAGCAAATACACCAACGTACATATTCCATGGGAACTACTAACTACTAACTCGGTAACTACTTTGTTGGTTCCTTAGGACGGTTTCACGTACTTGGTATGTCACGAACAACAGTACATAAAGTGGATCATTTGCTGTAAGTAAAAACAACGAAGTGTGTGACGTAATTCCAGAGTGTGCTTAGCAGTTGTCTCACATCAGGGTGGCAAGGGCCGATGCCCGATGTCGCCATATGCTGACCACCGCATGAACTGGCGGCGGTTCTTGGCTTGAGAGATTCGACTGATAGTTCCAGCAGTAGTACGAGTGCTGAATCAACAGGCAAATAACATCCTTGTCTGCGTGCTGATGCAGGGAAACCCACACAGAGTTCCATTGTCTACCGAACCAAACGACGGTCAGTAACACAAACGTCAATGTCATGGGATTCGTTCGTTCTACACGCAGTGCCTTCCGTGCTGCACCTGTGCACCATGGCCGTTGGTACCTGTGTTCGCTGACAGTATCGATTACCAATTACGAGTGGTTAATGGGCTGCGCGTTTATGGAGTCGCCACTCTCCGGGCGGCTGAGCTGCGCGACAGCGCCGGTCTGTCGAGGCGCGTTACGACCTCCCGGTCGGCTTGTGACGCGTTGAGCCGTGTATGCTGGACCGATGGTGTCGTAGTTCTCCACGTACTCTCAGCAGAAGGCGCGACATTAGCCGACGGCTCAGCCAGCACCTCCCGTCCGCTCGGCCAAGCCAGCCGTGTGCGGTTGGATTCGTGGCCGCTCTCTACCCCCACCCGGAGCCGCCCGGATGTTGAGCCTGGTGCGGCCAGACACGTGACTGCCCCCTCCCCCTCCCGTGAGCTGCGCGGGCGCCGAGCGCGGCACGGCTCGTCTGCTGCCGCCGGCCGCAGGCGACCCTGCACGGCTGCAGCGCGGCATGATGCAGCTCCAGACGGTGACTCGGCGAAACTCGCGCCCGCCGCCGCCACCGGCCGCGTTACCGGACTGTCTCGCCTCGCTCAATCGTGCAGGGGTGCCCCCCCCCCCCCCCTCCTGCTCAAGCTTGTCTGATGGTGTGCACCTTCTTGAAATTAGAATGAGGCGATGCGGTTTGGAGTGTGGCTTGTCCGTGGCCGGCGCCGTCAGTTCCAGGGAAGCGTGATCGCCGACGGAATGTGACGCCCTCACTGGTGTCCTTCGACGCTGGGCTGCATGGAACGTCTCGTGAGGCGTACAGAATCCGGTGACGGTTAGCACACGCTCGGGTGAGGGTCAATTTGACTAATTTGACCTCCAAAGGCTCTTCCATTATGGCTCCCGAACTGTGCTGCGTAACCGCCGCAAACTTTGCATAGCTGTAGGCGATTGAGTAGGGGACCTTCTGGTATAAAAAAATTGGATGTACGTGTCAGGTCGTTCACCTGTGGCAAGTCCAAGTCACCTGTGGCGAGCTAGCGCAGGCCATTTCTAGGGAATCGTTCAACCTAGTACGACAATGGAGTGTTGGACAAAGCCAGATCTGAGGCATCTGACGTCCATCATTTCTGAGACAGCTCCTGCAAGAAGCCAATTGAATTTAAAATTACTGAAATTCCGTAGAGAGCTTGCTTAAAGAGACAGTTTTTGGTGGTCGCTTCGAATCTGTTAATGCCAGGGGCCGCGACAGACATGTTCAATATACTTTTTAAAGGCCAGATTAGCTTACTGACCTAAAATGACCAGAGCCAACATATTTGTTTTAGGAACATATCTCCAGTGTAATCCCTGACGCTTATTTCAATGAAAAATAGCAGCTTTTTTTTGTTTTTTGGTCACCTTAGCCTTTCAAAGGTCAGAAAGGTCACTGATCCTGCATGCACACCATCGACCTTTTGATAAGGACAGTTATATCTTAACGACGGTTGCATGAAGGGTCCGGGACACTTTGGGATATCAATCGATTTTGACCTTATTTGACCTTATTTGATGCGAAGGTCATGACCGAGGAACCTTAAAATTTGACAAGTGATTTCACGTGCTAGTCATTGCACCCTGTGAATTCGTCATCTGTAGCCATCTTGGCTTCCGAGACCTGAGAGCGGTCAAATTAACCCCCACCCGAGCGAAGGGTATTCAACCAGCCTCCCGGGCGTGTGGTAAATCAGCGGCAAGTTTCAGTGTTTTTGCAGGCACGTTGGCGGCAGTTTTTGCGTTTTAAAGTAGCATTCCCCAGCACATTCGTTGCGACACGAGACGAGATCGTGGATATTATCGAACTACGTTAACGATCATTTGGTTACGCTCAAACGGTACCGTCAGACTGCCTGCACAACGAACGAATCAGTCAACATTTACAGCGAAGAATTATCAGCGCATTGGTGGTGGGACTGAGGTGTGGACTGGGTGGCGTCGTCCTCCGACTAACCACAGACCAGCGAACAGGCGGCACTTGGTTGGACATTGCGAAGAGAGTGCGGCAGAAGCCCCTGACCGAAGGACCGGTGCGCAGCCAGCTCAGACGTGCGCCGAGGGCACACTAGGGGAGTTCAAAATCGGCTAACATTTCAGTCTGGTCGAAGTGCTGCTTATTTTTAATCTAGACAACTTAAACGTCTGTAAGAACATATGAAAAGTCATGCGTCTTGTTACCATTGGGTGTGATGGAACTTGAGAAATCGGCATAGGGATGGCGATGGAGGGAATATAGCTGGTCCGAATAGGGCGTTCCGGTGCGAGATTAGCCGAGGTTAGCAGTACGCTGAGGGACGGATTGGCAGCCGCCGAGCCAGCATTCGGCACACATATTGGCGCACATATTCAGCGCGGTCCTGCGACCCAGGGCAAACTGCTGCCGTTGTGTCCCGGCCCTGTTCATAACTTGTCAGCACTAGAACAAGCGGCGAGCGGCTCAGTTATTGGCATGGAAACCAAGCCAGTGGGGATCTGTCATTGATATGACAGGTGCGTGGCGTAACCGGCGCCGAATTCCTGTATAAATTAGCCGGACGCTTCGCCCGGGCTCCCATGCGGTTCGCTGACCCGGTCGACAGCGGCGCCAGCCCAGCGGCCGTACACTCATGCCAGGTCAAGAGGGGAGCAGCCCGGTCCGCTCTGACGGAGCACGCTCCGAACAGTTGTAACGAGCCCGACAGAAGCCCGTTGGGTTAACCCGCGTCGAGTCGAGCCGGTTCGGTCAGCCACCATCCCGAATTCGTGGGTAGAAAGCTGGCGTGGGCTGGGGCGGATCGGTTCAGTGTGCTCTCGCCGCGGCGTTTCCATGCGTCTTAGTGGTCGGCTCAGTTCTGCTTGCTCCAGGGATGGTCGAATCCGTTCCAATGCACTCGTGTGAAAGCTGAGATACTGGCCCTGGAGCTGCTGAAGCTAACCAATGCCGGAGCTCCACAATTGCTTAGCTTTAGAAGAGACACAGTGGCCGTAGCGACGGTGAAGGCCCGTCCCGTGGCGCTCCTCCCCTGGTGTGCTGCTGGGTCCGCTCATGGCGCCGGCGGCCGGGAGAGTCGTCTATAATTTGACGGGCGAGGGGCGGCGTTTTTGGCCGGCTGCCGGCCGCCCAGCCGAGCGTGTTCGGGCCGGGGCCGGCGGCGACGCGACGACAGTGGCGCCCCCACCGGAGCGGCCGGCGCAGGGACAGCCATGTGGGCCAGAGCGGGTGGAGCAGTTGGCCGCGCAGTGAGCCTCTCGCTGCTGAGGAGCGCGACCAGGTGAGCAGCGACTCTGCGGTTATCACGCTGACGTTTTCTGCATGTCAGGGGAGACAAACGACAAGGGTTGCTGTTCACTTGGTGACTGCTCACCGGCTAAGGCTTGCTGGCTTCGGGGCGAGGCAGCCACGGTTCACTTGACAGATATGCATCAGTCGACACGTGCTGGCTGCACAGAGCGATTGATAGCTGAGATAACCTCGGTCGACTCGTTGATTCTGTTCTGCTATAGGCGGAAGTGCAGGAGGGGGGGGGGGGGGGGGGCAGAGCGGACGGGTGGTGTTTGCTCCGCCTCCACCACCTGTCCCCATCCGCCGCAGCCGTTGAACAGTCGTATTGACACCTGGACACCCTCTATGCTGCCCCAACACCGCAGTGAGCCGCGTGCGCTAGGAGAACCAGACGAGGACAGGTCGATGTAACCTTGCTGACAGTCAAATGAAGTATGATATATATATATATATATATATATATATATATATATATATATATGTATATATATATATATATATATATATGTGTGTGTGTGTATATATACATATAAGTACAAACACTCACATATATATATATATATATATATATATATATATATATATGTAATTTATGTCCTCAAAATCAACAATGAGCAGAAAAAAAGAAAAATAGTCGCGGCTCTGTAATGATTCGGCATTTGCATTGTGCCAGTTTCTCCTCCCGTTTAAAACTGCATATCAAACTCGAAAGAGACACCGCTCCATCGACAAACATAGGAATGTGCGGCCGGCTTTTTGTTCTGTTAGCTTTTTGTCTGCTGCGTTGCGTGGACCGCGGTTTCCTGCGCTCACCCGGTCCCCGCGGCGCCGCCAGCCGGCTGGCGCCCGTCACATCAGCGATGCGGACGTCCGGCCGAGATTCAAAGACGAGACCGTCGGGCGTGTCATAGGTCCGCTGCGTGACGAGCGGACGGTCCACTGACGGTGGGCGAACGGGCGGAAAGTTCGCGGACTCGGCGGACCGTCCGCTGTGTCCGTGCCGCCGCGCCGGCCTGGCGTCGCGTGCCAGGTGGAATCGAGGCCCAGGTGGAAAAAGACGCTTCAAAAACGGCTTCGGTTTCAGGGTCGCAAAGTGGAGAACGTTCTAGACACACGTTTCATACGAAAATCATGCTTGTCTGACATAACGGATATCTCTTGTTATATTACCACAGGCTTAGCTTCCCTCATCGGGCAGTACAATTCTGTGCTTTTTACCGTGTCAGTATGTTGGTACCCGTCTTTATGGCGATTGACGTTAAAGATTATTTGTGTGATGAAAAGAAAATATGCTGATCAGCAGCGTGCTTGCCGTCGAGTATAGCCAAGTGCAGTTAGACGATAATGGACGGGTGTTGATGGACGCCGGGAGGCGATTGGTAGGTGCTTATCACACGAGCGTGAGCCAACCACGGACGAAAACAAGGACGAAAACCCCAAAGTCACCGTAACTCTTTGCAGTGAACAAGCAAAGCACAGCCCGAACTCGTATCACGTAAGTCATTGATGCACCTGGTATGAGACACCAGCGCACAATAGGCGAAAGAGCTGATGAAAGCATCCGTTTATTTTATGGAACAGCTTGGCTATTTCGGCGGGCTCAGGAAACCCACCAGCGGCGCAGCTTTCTCATTTGTGGTGATTTTCTCTCTCTGTTGCTTGTGTCGCTCAAATACTTCTCATCTCACACATATCCGTTCAGCCACCAGCCGAAGCTTTTAAAGCTCCCGTGGCGCGGACAGCCGGCAGAATCCCTAATCTCTCTGCTGCGCACTGGCAGATCGGAGGTTCGTCCGCTACCTTGTCAGCCCGTCCGCCAGATGTCAGCTCGAGTGTGGTGCCTGGCGACGCGGCCGGACGGCCCGGCCAAGGCGTCGGATTTCCAGCTGAAGGAGGAGCCGCTGCCGGAGCCGAAGGAGGGTGACGTGCTGCTGGAGGCCGAGTTCCTCAGCGTTGACCCGTACATGCGGGCGTTTGCCTCACAGCTCCCGCTGGGAGAGCCCATGCCCGGCGCTCAGGTGGCCAAGTGAGTACAGCACACCGCACCGACGACGCAGGCAACTTCGCCCTCTGGAGCCTCGTGGCTCTTCCACTGGTTGGAGATGTTTTCGTTTTGTTTATGTATATAAAAATATGTGCATATATATATATATATATATATATATATATATATATATATATATATATATAACGGAGCCGGGTACCATGAACCATGCTACTGCGCGAACGGTTGAACACCGAGTAAACACAACAGGAATAACTGTCGGGGAGTATGTCTATCCACCGAAAGGCTGTATGCTCAAGCACATTGTTCGATTCGGGATTGAATAACAGATTGGCATTTTATCACATAACTAAGGTGAAGCCTAATCGAAAACCTGCCTTTTGAACCACCACCGGCAAATAAGGCGACCTCCACACCCTTCTGACGCACCCCTGCACGCAGGGTGAGCCATGTAATCTTCTGCCCGCCCCCCCCCCCATGCCGGCAGGGTGGTGAGCTCCCGCTGTCCGCACCCCTCTGAGCCGTCCCCGCCATGCCGGCGGGGTGGTGAGCTCCCGCTGTCCACACTCCTCTGAACCGTCCCCGCCGCGCCGGCAGGGTGGTGAGCTCCCGCTGTCCGCACCCCTCTGAACCGTCCCCGCCGCGCCGGCAGGGTGGTGAGCTTCCGCTGTCCGCACCCCTCTGAACCGTCCCCGCCGTGCCGGCAGGGTGGTGAGCTCTCGCTGTCCGCACCCCTCTGAGCCGTCCCCGCCACGCCGGCAGGGTGGTGAGCTCCCGCTGTCCGACGCTGGCCGAGGGTCGCCGGGTGCTGGTGGCCGCTGGCTGGCGGGAGCGGTCGGTGGTGTCGCCGGAGACGGGCCGGCCGGGCGGCGCGCCCGTTGTGCCGCTACCAGCCGCCGCGCCCGTTTCCTACTCCCACTACCTGGGCGTGGTGGGCATGACTGGCCTGACGGCCTACTGCGCCGTACACGACCTGCTGCAGCCGCAGCCCGGCCAGACGCTGGTGGTGAACGCTGCCGCCGGCGCCGTCGGCTCGGTGGTCGGCCAGATTGGCCGCATTCTGGGCGCGCGTGTCATCGGGTATGCCGGCAGCGATGACAAGGTGGCCTGGCTCAAGGACACGCTCAAGTTTGACGAGGCGTTCAACTACAAGACGCAGGATTTGGCGGAGACGCTGCGCGCCGCGGCGCCCGATGGCGTTAACTGTTACTTCGACGCCGTCGGCGGCAAGTTCTCTGCCACAGTGGTACAGCAGATGGCCGACAAGGGCCGGATCGCCTGTATCGGCGCCAGCAGCGGCTACAACGACAAGACGGCGGCCACCAGCGGCCCCTTTCCTGAGCTGGCCATCATCATGAAGCAGCTGACCATCACGGGATTCCAGTACTTCTCACAGGACTTGGCCTCGGAGAAATTTCAGGCGGCACGCGCCCAGCTGGCGCAATGGGTGGCCGAGGGCAAGCTGGAGGCCAAGCAGACCTTTACAGACGGCTTCCAGAACATGCCGCAGGCGCTGCTGGACATGATGGCCGGCAAGAACACCGGGAAGATGGTGGTTCGCGCCTAAGCGAGCACGTGACGTCTGTGAGGAACCTGGAAATTGTACTCAGGTGCAAAACTGTGCTGAAATCCGTTTCTGCATGCTTGTATGTTTTATTTCCTTGCGATACGCTTCAACACACTACGTGGTTGCCGCGCTGTAATGCAGGAGCGTAAACTCGTAGTACCCCCCCCGGTAGGCATATGCCACCTCCATATCAAATGCATGGAATGTATTAATATGTATGTGACTAAATGCTGACGGTAAGAAATTTCCGGTAAATACGTAAAAATGACAACACCGAGAGGATGCGACGGTGTTGTTTTTTTTTTGCGGCACCCAGGACCCCGCGCGCGCTAAGTTCGGTGTTCAGTATAAAAGTTGTGTTCCCCATATGAAATCCTGCACACACCCCTGCCTTGTGTAAGATCAGAGCCAGCTACAGGACGCGCACGATTGGCTTAATGACATCGTGCAGTTACAGTGCGTTGAAGACGGCGCAAATACGCCACAACTTGTCTCACTATGCGTGTAGGAATTTTGCTTTCACCGCTTCTGCAGTTATGGGCGCATAAAGTTACAGGGTATTTGAGTATGAGAACGCATGTAGGCATCATCATCTATGATAGAGACTGTTTTATATAAGGTCTATTTCATCTGCGCTTCTGGTGTATGGTTCATTGTTTAGGAGTTACAAACAGGAAACGGATCCTTTGGTGGTGGAAAATAAAGTGGACGCCAACAGATTGTTCACATGTTTCTACTCACGTTACAAAACTATAGTTTCTATCCTCTGCACGACCAACTGGTCGCAAAATCCTAAGGGACCAGCCATGAACCAAATCACGCTGAAGAGGCAGGGGACGCCACCGACCACCTGACGCTTCGCTAAAAGCTACGCAGGAGACGGCGTCCACGACGATGGCAACGCTGCTTTAAACAGCGCTCACAGGGAGAAGGGTGGCAAAACTGCGGCAAGCTACGCCATCAAGCTGATAAAACAGACCTCCTTCCGGACATCGGTACGGTGCTCTTTCGTGCAGATTTCGAGGATGTGGGGAACGATCGCTACGGGCTCTTCTCGGGGCGTACTCTTTGTCCACGTCTGCATGTGACACATCGTGGCACAAGGTATGGCTGAGATGGGACTACAGGCATTCACATCCTGTCGTCACATCGATGACATTTTTGTTGATGCGCGCGGCGAGCATCCCCAGCGCATTGGAGGATGGGTCCATTCCCAGCTTTAGTATTGAAAAAAAACGCAGGGAGGCTCTCATTCCTGGACGTAAATACTGATGCATCAACTGGATAGTATAAAACTGGTGTCTACCATACGCAGACAAACTTTGGGCGTTGCCTGAACGGAGCGAGCGCATGCCCCGAAGGATATAAGCGAGGCGTCGTAAAGACGTACGTTCACAGAGCATTCAAGCCCCGTTTGTCATGGCCAGTGATCCATCAAGAACTCCAACCAGTATGCCAACGTCTCGCTGACGAGCATAGCATCCACATGGTCGAAACAGAAATCCGGCTCGAAATATAGCAGAACGCCCAGCTACAGCCTGGCCTAAAGAATGAGACACCACCGGGGCCGACACTCTCCCTTTTCTATGAAAACCGCATGACGGCAGTCTACACAAAGGATAAGAAGATTACCCGAGACACCGTGTCCAGAACCTGCCGGCCCGTCCAGCCTCACGACAAAATCAACCTCATCATTTCCTAAAGGAGCCCTCGTGACCACCGACCAGCCTGGTCATGAAGAGCAACTTTTCCTCAAGACCCGTCTGAGCTGAAAACTACCTACGCAGGTGCACCAGTTTCGCTGCAATGCCGGCGACTGTGCGTAAGGTCCTGTGATGCCTACATGGGCTAAACAACCAGGATCCTCCGCTGAGGTATAACGACGTGCCCGCAAGATGAAGACCCGAATCGCCATCTCAAGTATGCCCACAGCAGCCAATTGAGCAGAAAACTGATGATTAACAACACCGTCATTCTCGCCAGTTGCTCTGACAGGCGGAAGCTCCTCGTTCTGGAAGCAGTATACATCCGTGACAACGGCCCTGTCATCAACCGCCAGGTTTTTCCCTACCCACGGTTCCTTTGAGAGTTCGAGCAAGTTCCGCACACTTTGGTTTCCTATGAACCACCGCAATTGGCTTATTGCAAATTTTTCCTGCGATCAGCCTTCATCGAATTTATGTCTTATTGTGATTTTACTGAGCATTATGCAGATCAAACCATTATATAGCGCTATTTGAGTCTTATGCATACTTGTAACTGCCTGATGACGTCCTACGTCCGACGAAACGCTCCCAGCGTTTGGAGAGATTTAAAACATTTCATTGAGCCACCTGAGAGAAAGTGTGCTCGTAATATTGATAATCTGAGGAAGACATAGCACAACAAAAATGCTGTCATTAACAACAACTTTGGCGTAAAAGAAAATATGCCCCCTACGTACAAGCATATATATATATACATATATATATATATATATATATATATATATATATATATATATATATATTTATATATATATATGTATATATATATGTATATATATATATATACATATGTATATATATACATATCATATTTGAATATATATATATATATATATATATATATATATATATATATTTATGTGGGTAAACAAAGGGTGTCTGTCACCTTTTGGTGACTTTTTAGCTTTGCCTTCCCCAGCCATTTGGAGATGATGATGATGATGATTTGGGGATTTAGGGCGCATCGACTGCTAAAGGTCATGCAGCGCCCATAACTATCGATTCATGCAGAGCCGTCAATCAGAGAAGTGCATCAATCAGGTCACCCTATAGAGCCATGATGATCGGCCCTAGCATCATGATGAGAAGATTACAGGAAAATCTATAGCGCGAAGGAACTGGAGCACTTTACCAAACCCGACGATGTTCGAAGAATCCCCTAAAAAGTCGCGTAGCGTGCGACTCTGGACGTGGCGTCCGAAAAACTGCGCTCTCGTTGCAGTAAGGTGGCGGCAAGCGACCAGTACGTGATGCACGGTCAGTGGATCAGAGCATCGACCGCAGCATGGTCTGTCGCCAGCCAATAGCAGGTGACGGTGCGTAGCATATGTGTGACCTATGCGTAACCGGCAAAGGGCAACTTCTTCCACCCTATTGTCCCGAAAGCACGACTGCCATAATCCAATGCGGGGTTTCACCGACTGCAGCTTGTTGGCGCTCAGCGAGTTCCAGTAGAACTGCCATCGCTTCTGCATAAACAGCGACACTGCGGGGTACATGTCTTGAGCAGGTAGTGGTGTTATAGGAATTCTAGTCCCTGTCGTAGCGCGCTTTGCTGCCGCGTCAGCAAGATCATTTCCGCATATCCCCACGTGACTTGGGATCCAGCATAGAACGACCGTTTTTCCTGCTCGATCCAGTGAGCTAAGACGAGATTGAATGTCCTGAACAAGTGGATTCGACGGGGAGAAGCCGCTAACAGCCAGCAGGCTGCTCAAGGAGTCGGAAAGAATTAAATGCAGATTGCTATCGTCCACTTCAATAAAACAGAGAGCTTTGCTAATGGCTATAAGCTCGGAAGTGTAGACCGACGCGTGTGAAGGCAGTGTGAATGACCGTGTGGTCGATCCGCACACAAAAGCGCACCCTACACCTGCATCCGTCTTCGAACCATCTGTATAAGTCATCTTGTACCCGTCAAAGGAGGCCATGTGCTCTAAAGCTGCGCCTTTGAGTTCCGCCATGAGGACATGTTGCTTTTGCATATTTGATAGAGAGACATCCACTCTTGGCGATGCTAGCTCCCAAGGAGCAGTCTCCATGGGTTTAGGTCTGATGACACGCCGTAGGTTCAGGCCGCTCGCATCTAAAAGCTCTCTCATTCGTACACAGAAGGGAGAAGTTTTAGGTGACCGTTGACGTAGGAAAAGCCTTCGTAAGCTACGCGAAAACACTGCTTTGTAGGTGGGATGATCTGGGAACTGCGCCAGCTTGCACGTGTAGCGCAGTCCCAGCATCTGCCTTCGCAATGCTAGTGGGGGCTCGTGAGCCTCCACCAGAAGACTGTCTATGGGCGATGTCCGAAAAGCCCCTGTGGCGATACGGAGTGCGGCGTGATGCACCGTGTTCAGAGTACGTTTGATCAGGTCTGATGAGCTGTCGTAGATAAAACAGCCGTAGTCAAGTTTTGAACGAATCAGGGAGCGGTATAGGAGTAAGAGTGTCCTCCTATCAGCACCGTATGACGTACGTCCCACGCACCTTAGGATGTTAAGAGATTTTAAACATTTGTCGCGGAGATTTCTGATGTGCTCACGGTATGTTAGGCGTCGGTCAAAGCGTATACCGAGAAATTTCGCGGTATTCTCATTGGCGACGCGTTGCCCAAACAGCCTGATTTCCATATCAGGACAGTGACGGCGACGACGACAGAAATGAACTGCAGTTGTCTTCGATGTAGAAAACCGGAAACCGTTGAGCACACTCCACTTCTCCAGACGTGTGACAGCCAGCTGCAGCTGTCGCTCCATCGTGCGAGTGGTCGATGAGCTACACCAAATAGCAAAGTCGTCTACAAACAGGGAACGGCTGATCCCATGTGGAAGCGTGTCCCCTATGTCGTTTATCATCACTGCGAAAAGAATGACACTTAATACGCTGCCCTGAGGCACACCATTGTCCTGTGGATACCTGTCGGATTGATAAGAACCAACACGCACCCGAAAGAATCTGTCAGTCAGAAAGTTTTGTAAAAACTTTCCCATGTGACCACGGATGCCACAATCGAGTAACTTCATCATAATTCCATGTCAACATGTGGTGTCATAAGCTTTTTCTGTCAAAGAAGATGGCGCCGGTATGACGCTTGCTACTAAATCCGGCTCGCACTGCGGTATCAAGAGTTAAGATGTGGTCAATCGTGCTCCTGTTCTTACGGAATCCGCACTGAGCATTCGTGAAAAAGTTCTGGCGTTCTAAAGTCCACGAGAGCCGCACATTCACCATTCTTTCCATGAGCTTACAAAGCGAAGATGTGAGGGCGATCGGGCGGTAGTCAAGAGCGTTCGTCCCACTTTTCCCGGGCTTTAAAATAGGCACTACTATTGCCTCTCGCCAGATTGGCGGGAAGTTACCTGACACCCATATGCAGTTGAAAACTGCCAGCAACGCTCGTAGTACACGGGGAGGAAAATGCCGTATCATATCATTGTGGATGAGGTCGGGCCCCTCCGCTACACCACGCAGCGAGCGAATGGCCGCTTGAAGCTCCATCATAGTGAAATGTTTGTTGTACGTCAGGACGTCATCTGTACAAAAATTAACCTGCGAAGTTTCACATCGTGCCCTGTGCCGCAAAAACCGCGGGTCGCAGGTGCCATTTCGGCAACGGTCTGACAGGGCTTCCCCAATGGCTTCTGCCACATCACTTGGGTGGGTGATGTCTTGACTTCCCACTCGCAGTACGGGAAGAGAAACTGCTGGATGCAGTCCAGCGATTCGCTTAATGCGGCCCCATACCTGTGACGTCGGCGTGTGGCGATTTAGTAAATTGACGTAGCTGCGCCATGATGCACGTTTCGCCTCTCGTATAGTGTGGCGTGCGGCCGCGCGTGCTTGCCTGAAAGCCAAGAGGTTTAATGTGCTGCTGTGCCGGTCAAAAGCCCTAAAAGCTCTCCGACGTGCACGAATAGCGTCGCGACACTCGTCGCTCCACCAAGGTACAGGGGTACGACGAGGGCATCCGGAGGTGCGCGGAATGCATCCTTTCGCCGCATCCAACACGAGAGACGTAAATTCCTCCGTAGTCGGAGTTGCAGGGTCGAAATCGTTGGAAAACGTTTCGTCCAGGCGAGTCTCAAATTCCCTCCAGTCCGCCTTCTTGAAATTCCAACGCTGAGGTCGAGTACCAAGAACAGTACCACCACGGTACCGAACCCAGACCGGAAAGTGGTCACTTCCAAGGGGGTCCTCTGAAGCATCCCAGGTGAAGTATGGTACCAACTGCGGACTACAAATGCTCAGGTCTAGCACCGACGATTGTCCGGATGGCAATGTAAAATGCGTTCTTGATCCTGTATTTAAAACGCACAGACCTTCGTCACGCACGAGAGCCTCACATAGCCTCCCGCGAGTGTTCGTGGAAGCACACCCCCACACAGTGTGATGTGCATTAAAATCGCCTAAAACGAGTAGAGGGGGAGGGAGTTGAGAGACTAACTCTCGTAGTCCTCCAGATGGAAATGAAACCCCAGGTGGCAAGTAGAGAGAGCAGACAGTTATGGTGCGGCGGTTGAAATTCACCGTTGCTGCGACAGCCTGCAAGTCTGTTCTCAACACCAGACGCCGCGTAGGAACGCTTTGGTGTACAGCCAAAAGAACGCCACCGTAAGCAACGGTGTCTGTTGGCATGTCAGTGCGGAAGGTAGTGTACCCTTTCAGGCTGAAGGCCGCATCAGGCGCCAACTTGGTCTCCTGGAGACACACGGCTACCGGGCAGTGCGCGCTTAAAACTGTCTGCAAGTCCTGGGTGCTTGACCTTACACCTCTACAGTTCCACTGTAAAACTGACTGAATGAGGAGGCTTTAAAAGCACTGTAAGGTTTTAAAAGAACTCAGCAGCGCTAGAGCCTGGCCCATGGTTGTGGGTTTTGTCGTCAGAACCCGAGGAGATCGGGCGGATCCTGGGTCGGATCCGGGGACTACCGCCATCTGTTGGCGAAATCGGCCCCGGCGGTCCACGCTTTTCCGGACGCCCCGTCCTAAACTGAGCCGGCGCCGGCGACGCCGTGGTCCTAGGCGGCGGTGGTGGTGGAGCACCCATAGACGGGTCTCTCCGCGAGTCGGAGGGGCCTAAGGGAGCTTCCACACGCTTTCGGGGAGGTGGGACTACCTCCCCCGTGGGAGCAGGCCCGGGGCCCGCACCCGACAGCCGACTGGCTGCCTTTGCCCTCTCCTGCTCCTGAAGGCGTGCACGCTTTGCCTCGCGCGCCCGTCTCTCCGCCTCTTGGCGCTCAAGGTTGTCCAGTTTCCGACCCATCGTCTCACTCAGGGTTGTAGGACGTGATGCTCCTGGGGAGGACGGCTGTGAAGCCGGTGATCGCGCGCTTACTGGCGAAGACCGAGAGGTTCGGCCCCGGCGGGCCACGGTCCACTCATTGCTTTCGGCTGGTGTGGGGTGGGGCGGCGAGGTAACAACTGGCGCGCTGGCCTGTGCCTCAGAGGGGGCACAAGGTGCCAACGAGACGGGGGACGACAGTGTTGCCGAAATCGTGTTGCCGAAAAGCCATTTGGAGAAATCGACGCTGGGAGTAATGTCGAGGAGCAATCGATGGAGTAATGTGAGCCGATGAGAGATTCTCGCGGGACGAGGGAGGGACGAGGGAAGAGGGACGAGGGACGAGGGCCGATCAGTAGTGACGGAGAGAAGCGATGCCGCGGTGAGCCTTACACCAGGTGACTAGTATCTACTGGGATAAACTCAGAGATCTGCGTAGTGTACGGCTGTACTGTTCCACTCATAAGAAAACAGGTCTGATGGTTGCACATTACCCGCAGGCTGTGGGTGGGGACCACCCCACAGGACTCACTTGAATATGACCGACAGGGCTTCTCCCTTTAATGTGGTACACAGGCATGCTTGAAACTGTGTGAGTGTGTAAATACTAGTAAAGAATCACAGCAAAGTGGCTCTTGCTGTGCAACGTGTTCGGGCGAAAGCATATTCACCGTAAAAGCCCACATATTGTTGGCGAGCCAACGTTTTCACCATTTGTAGTCGTTCCCAGGTAGCCAGCGTGTGACAGGGAATTGCCCCGCTAAGAATTACCTGCGAATCAGTACAATGGGCCAGCTAGCCGGCACCCGTCACTGCCAAGAGCATGTAGAATTAATGCAAACAAATATAATCATTGCTGAAAAACGCATTACTGCCAAGGAGCATTTCTGTCGTAAGGTTTATTAGTGGTTAGTTACAGCTACTATCCATAGACTACTATGCGCCGGCAGTGGCCACCCTGTACCAAGATGACAGGCAGTCAATGTCATATAGTCCGAGTGGCTGAATGCGTCGTTAGGTCCTAATGACAGAATCAATACGGGAGGCAAAATGAGGGTGAAATGCCACCAATCACTCTCAAACGCATAGCTAACCTTACCAACTGAACTGACATATACATATATTCACTGATGTGGCTATTGCGACAAAGTTGCGGTAACATATCGCTAAGTAATATTTCTAAACGTATTCACAACGGTGTGCATTACACAACGTCATGGGCAAGAATGAAAATTCAAAAACCATACACGAGCTTCATCGAAATCATTAAGTACGTCACGGCGCTTGCTGTTTTATGCAATTTTGGCTTTGCGAATCTCGTGACTGCTGTCAGTATCAGTGAGAAATTCATCCGGTGATCATACTGGAATTGTGGAGAAAGAAGCCCTTGCTCCTTGTTGCGCGGACGGCAAAAACCAATTTGAAGACAGCAGTACTCCGGTACTCGGTACTCGGTACTCGGTACAGTACTCGGAGAATACTCCGAGTAGCATAGTAATGACCAGTGTGGGAATGTCACCACCGGTTGGAGTTAGTCAGGAAAGGAGACAAAACGAACAAAATACACGAAGCAAGCGGAGTCAGAAACACAAATAAGAAATCCCGCCACATGATTATTTGAATCCTTGTGATCAAAGCGATGGTGCTTCGTATGACGTTCGAAAGACCATTTAATCGCAGACGTGGTACAAACAAAAACGATGTCAGTCATTAGTGATATCGCATTCGCCTAATTACGACTACCGAAGATGCCTTTTTCAGGACAAGATTGAATATCTTGTCAACGCAACCTCAGAGCGCTAAATCGCTCCCTCTCTGATACCCTTCTGAGCGGCCCTGGGGTGTCTTCACGGGATCGAGAACAGCGAGGAATGGCTCCAATAGGAAGGGGCGACATCTCATCGGGCTTCAGCTGGATTGGTTTGGGAATCATTTCGTTGGAACGCACATCAGCTTAAAGGTAGTGTTCCAAAATTGTATGCGAGTTTAACTTGAAGTAGCCGTCTTTAAAATCATTTGGCGTGATCCACAGCCCTGCCTTTCTGCAGACCTCAACCCCTCTAGTTTCTTATCTACATACATTTCATCTCGCTGGCGCTATGTGGTTTCGTTCTCGCCCGACCAGTCACGCCTGGACTTCTTCTTACCGCAGGGTACCATTAACCGCAAGGTCCGCTACCTGCAGCGAGTTCAGCTACTGCGCACCTAGGGCCGCCAGGGACCGTCCAGGACTGGAGCACCTTTTGTTGACAGTTTGATGGGCATGAAATCAATGACTAACCGCCGTCGCTGGTCGTGTTTTGCCATTCAGTTAGCGGCCGAATACCACCAGTCACGATCGTGTGACAACTCCACTTGGCACTGTTGGGAAAACTTAACTTTTATCTGGGCCAGACTGTACTTTTAAAAACTGACATATTGTAGACAAATATTCCTTAATCCCAAATCAGGTGATCTCATGTGAACAAATGTCAAACATTTACCGACTAGCCTAGCATAGGGAATTTCGCATGGGTTCCTACAGGATATGATCTGGTACAAAATACGCGTTACAGTAATGACGATGTGCATAGATGTTTAGAGTACCAATGGCTAAGACAATTTGCCTGTATTTTCCGGTCCAGTGTTCCTTTTTGCTCATACGCATTGAGGGGCTCACGCCAGCATTGGGTGGGGAGGCTCAGGCTCTCCCGGGGGTAAATTAAATGATGCCACTAGTCCAAGGGAGAGACGGAAGGAAGCTCGAATTTGGGCCTTGGTATACGTGTCCTGTTTGGTTTGTATTGGATCCGGAATTTGATTTCCGTTCAGTATAATTCGGTGACAGCGCGCTGTAACTTACTTGTGCCAAGTTTAAGATAAAACTGTTTCGCATAATATTGGACTTCATTGATTCAATAACATTGTCGGCTTCATATATTTTAGTCGAAAATATGCTCGGAGCACATTTAAGTGTTTCGGTTTCTATCGTGCCCTCCTCTGAGTGACTAGTGCAGAGAGTGTCCTGCGGTGAATGAGCATTCATATTTACCCTGACTGCCAGCAACTGTCGTGAGGCGGGCGGTTTCAGCGTTAATGCTGATGCACCCGGAGGTGGCGATAGCTGACTGAGGCCCCTCGCTCCGCTTCATGCCCGGCCGGCGCATGATGACGGTGTCCGCTGGTTACCCGAGGTACGCACGCCTTCCACAATGGACGACGCCCGGGAAGGGCACCGGCGCCCCAATATCTGGTGCCCGTGTCATGTGAGGTGATCCGTCAGCAAACAGTGAAGCAGGAGACCTTCAGGGTGCTAACACTTCGACAAACCGCAATTATTCACGACTACGGTGAATCGTAACCGTGCAACGCTGTGCCAGAACAATGACACGGAACAGAACGTCCAGGACAGACCCGTCAATTAGGACACGAAACCACAATAAATACAGAGCGATGTGTATTTCTTTGGCCCAGATCAAGTGCAGGGCACATATTGCTATTAGTGTTTCCGACTGAATCAACTGTGATGGTTTCAAAAAATGAGCTGACAACGACATAAGGAGACACAACATACACACCTGATAAAAACCATCGTAAAGGCCAATTTCCTTGTGCTATCTGTTAAGCACTCACCAATTTTACATGCTCCTTCAAGACCTTCACCTGAGGCATCTTCTTCAGCTTCCTGTCCAACTTAGCCCATATTTCTTCTTTCGTCGTATCTGTCTTTCCCTCTCCCCCTCGACTCTGATACTCAGTGACTACTTTCTTTCGAAGTTTCTTTAGCGGCAGCTCACGGTCATCACGGTTTCCCAGCAACGCAAGTACTACACCTGGCCAATCAAATTTGTTTGGCCTATGCACGGACATCAGCGCTGACTCGTCCAATGTTGCGTTCAGTCGCTCCACATCAACATCTGCGTCTAGTTTTCGCTTTTTCTTTCTACCGCTCGACCCGTCGTCTGGATCCACACCGCTTTCGGCTTTTTCCTCGCCCTCCTGTTTCCGTTTTCCAGAGGTTTTCCCATTGGTGGCTTCAACATGCTTTGTCTTCTTTTTGCTTCGCTCCATTTTCTTGTCCCTTTTATTTTTCTTCTTCTCGATCTGGTCTGCTTCCGTCTCAACCTTTTCCGTGGTTATGGTCTCCTTCGTCTTCCTTTTCTTGTGCGCAATTTCGGGTTCCTGCGCTTGAGCGTCCTGCACACCGTTCTCCTGCTGAGAAACCCTCATCGCATCACTGGACGGCCCGTGCTCGTCCTTCTGCCTAACCACAGCGGCCTCAAACACTGACCACGCCTGCTCCACCAGCGCGTGATTTCTGATGCTAACGCTGTTGCTCACGAAGTTCTGGAACTTTTTCTTCTTCCTTGGAATGTTGCCATGCTGTGTGAGTGTCGAAAGAAGCTGGCTCAGGGCCGGAGGCATGTCTTTTGTTTCTTCAACTTTCCTGTTGATGGCCTCTATCCACGCTTCCTGCTTACGTTCACCTTTGTTTGCACTAGACTTGGGCTGCCAACCTTTGGCTGCATATTTTTCGTCTTCAGTAATGCACTTGTTGTGATGTTTGTACTCCTCACCCCAGAAGTCCTTCCCGCAGTCCATACAGGAGAGGCTTTCACACCGGCGACATTGTTGCTGATAGTGCTTCTCCACCTGATTCTTCTTGATGGAGGCACCGCACGCATTGCAGGCAAATACCACCATTCTTGGTCCTGGAACCTAGGGGCAAAACTCTTTCTGAAATACCAAAGAAGTTGATACATGAGATTTAGAAGTCAATACACAGGATATGGTGCAGTGGCAAGATAAAAAGCAACTTCAGTAATATAAAGTGAACTGAGCACATGAATGATGTTTAATTACATGGTATACCAGAACACCATATTTAGTCAGCATGACCACAAAATAGAAGAGAAAGACTTCTTATATGAATTCAATTGACTTTGAAAGGCAAATTCACTCTTGTGATTCCAACTTAAAACTGAGGATACCTTGTACTGTATAGAGACTAAATGCCTGATCAGTGCCCACTGAAACTGAAAGCAGAATAGGCACTCCTTGACAAAATGATGTATTCACAGAAGGGAGCACTGTAAAAAATTATAAGGACTAACAAAACACTTTACATGCTTGCTGTGATTGGCTTTTAAGACATGACATTTGGATTGCATGTTCAGACTGAGAAAAACATGAGGTGGCAAGACAAACAATGAAAGGAAATGTGGTCATTTTGCTGTTGCATTAGTTGTGAAGATGGAAAAAACTTGCAATAGATGTGATAAGTATGAAACACCTATGCAGGTGACAAGGTAACAGGTGCTGAAAGACCCCTCAGTCAAAACTGCCTAACTTTTTATGTTGAAAGTTACAGAACCACTCTTACTGCCTTAAGAATAACTCTGGCCTTGATGGCCTGTGCTGAGTAATAACCATGACCAACACATCCTATGCTGCTTTGTTTCACGTGAATCAACCATGAGGCAAGTTAACTTTTTATAATAGATGCAGTACAAAAAGGTACACCTAATCATGTCAAAAGCTGGTAATAAGCAATTCTGAACTTGGCTGAACCACTGATCATGACATTCAAACCTGTTTGCCACTGGTAAATTAACTATCACATGATGTGGTTGCTTGTTTTGAATTGCTCTAAGATTGAAACAAGATATTTTTTAAGATACAAGCAGCTAAAAATGATGACTGAACTGCAGCAATTGCCTATTTTTTCAAATGCAAATATATATATATATATATATATATATATATATATATATATATATATATATATATACATATATATAAACACAGTAAGTCAGCATTAAGTTGGCATCAAATGTACTATGTAACCGCATAAGAAATGCAACATTCATGAGTAATGATGAACATGAACAACAACAAACAATAAAATATTAAAGGCAATACATGACAAATTAGTACTTTCCAAAAGAAACACAACAGACTAATGGCACTGACAACACAAAACTTACAAATTCATTAAGTACAACCTTAATCAATCACCACAGAACCCAGTACCTAAAAACATTTGAAAAACTAAATAAAAAGAAAATGAAATAAAATTAATGCTGGGATATGCTGGGTTAGCCTTGGCACAACCCATCTTGAATTTCATTTCAATTTGCATTTCATTTTATTTTTCAACTGCTTTTATCATTGGCTTCTACAGTGCTTATTAAGATTGATTTTTTGGCTCATATGGTGTTTTTGGTTATGGTTCATATGTATGGTTCATATGGCCCAGATGGTTCATATGATTGAATTTAATCACCAGCTGGCAATCAGCTTTGTACAACAAGGCAGGAGAGCCAAAAATACCATAACTCATCAGGCAAAAGCCAAATTTTTTGTTAGAATGTGAAAAAGCACCATTTTTCACATACTTCAAATTAAGGCCAGATCCATGACAGTCCAGCATATTGAGCAAATACTTCCTCTCTTCACCAGACGAGCACGGCCCCTGTCCCTGCCTCTCATAATATTCAGTTAGCTGTGTTTATAATGCCGAAAATTAGCTGTAACCCCTCAAACTCCTAACTGTGCCTACCTATACCATACCTGTCTAGATCTTAATTCACTATATTTCAGTATCTGAAATTTGGTTTTGGCTGTTAGGGAAGAGAACAAAAATATTAAAATCACAGCTTGTAGTGAGAACAAAATAACCCAGGTGAATTTGCACTGCATTTACAGCTGGTACTTAAGGACATCCTTTGGCAGCAGATGACAGTAAACACCATGCTCTAGCTAGTCCCAGTGATTTCCAAAGACCAATAAGATTGACTGCTTGCAATTCTTAAATTTTCTAGCTTCCTAAGTTAGTGCTTCCTAAATCTATGCTAACACCTACTGTATTTTTTAAGCTACATAGCTGATAGAAAGTTGTTGATATTAATAATTCTATTGTAAATGTGTCAGTAGCAATAAATGCTGACAGAAGCAGATGCTTAAAATGTTGTGCACCTATTGCACCATTTCCCAGAGCATGTAATGCCAAGCTTGTGATTGAAATGTCATGCAAGCCACAATATAGATAGGAGCATATGGGGCATGGTAGCCAGTGCAAATACATTCTAGCCAGGGTAAAATCATTCTCACCCAGAGGAAAGATCCTGGGGCAATGTGATACCCACCTAGGTTTTTGCTGACCCAGATGTACTTAATTTGGAAACAAGTGTGTAGTTCCCAATTTAGTTAGATAGGATAGAATACCCTCCCCAATATTGACAAAAAAAATTGGTCGAAATCAGGGAAAACATTGTTTACACCAGTTGTTTGGGATAAAAGATTTCTCTGCTCACCTGTTCCACAAAGTTATGTACAAAACTACACCACGTGGGACGGCAGGGCTGCTGAGTGATCAGGGCTCGGAGCCCAACGCAGCAGGCGCAGGGTAATCATTTCCTCCTTACAGATCAATCCAGCCACGCAAAGTTAGCATCACTGCATCTACTCACCGGCGTTGAGTCCGATACAATACTTTTCTCAGTGTATGACACTGAGCTAAATTTATATATTGTCCTTACCTACACCCCCAACCAATCACGCCACCGCCTCTCCGCACGCGGCTCCTCCAAAACATGGTCGGCAGGCTACATAAATGGCGCGGACGCAATAGCAGCAAGGCTATCTAACGAATAGCAGTCTTCAAGACGGAGCCGCTGTATGTTATTGATGGGTTCTGCTATTGCTCTTTAGGAGCTTAATGATTTAAAAAAAAAATATTCGTCGGCCAAACCTGGCTTTAATAGAATGTAGATCTCAAAAAACACAAATAATCATATAAATACATCCGTTAAAGTTCTGCTCAACGGAGAATACGAAACCCTGCTTTAGCTTTATACTCAGATTTCAATTCTGTGGCGACGCTCTGTAGATCGATAGAGAAAATTCCATGATTTTGTTTAATGATCCTTTCATTCATTTTCATCACGTATTCCGCTCGGATTTCTTGGTGGAGTACATGCCTTTTCTCCAATGCTAAATCCATCCCAAGAGCCGGATACTCGCGGAGCCACGAATATGTGATAACATGTTACGGTTAGGTATGACCAGTAAGGCACAGCGAGTAGGTACAATCGAGATCAGTTCGGTCGTCTAATTGCACAGTGTCTAAATAAGGTGAGTGACATTTTTAGGAGCATAAGAATTGAAGCGGCAAAACACATGCTGAATGATATGGTACACAATCCACTGATGCCACCGATCGTCCCAAAATAAGGTGAAGGGTGACTGAGGAGTTGGTTTGCTTGTTCAGTTCAGGTGACAGGTGTTTTAATCGCGACAGCCTCCAGAACATAAAGCTTACCCCTCAGAAAACTAGGGCAAGTGCAGAAAAAGCTTATTAAAAACACTTACGCCATGGTCTTAGACAACACTTGCATAAGAGAGAGAGAGAGAGAGAGAGAGAGAGAGAGAGAGAGAGAGAGAGAGAGAGAGAGAGAGAGAGAGAGAGAGAGAGAGAGAGAGAGAGAGAGAGAGAGAGAGAGAGAGAGAAGAGAGAGAGAGAGAGAGAGAGAGAGAGAGAGAGAGAGAGAGAGAGAGAGAGAGAGAGAGAGAGAGAGAGAAGAGAGAGAGAGAGAGAGAGAGAGAGAGAGAGAGAGAGAGAGAGAGAGAGAGAGAGAGAGAGAGAGAGAGAGAGAGAGAGAGAGAGAGAGAGAGAGAGAGAGAGAGGATAGAGAGAGAGAGAGAGAGAGAGAGAGAGAGAGAGAGAGAGAGAGAGAGAGAGAGAGAGAGAGAGAGAGAGAGAGAGAGAGAAGAGAGAGAGAGAGAGAGAGAGAGAGAGAGAGAGAGAGAGGAGAGAGAGAGAGAGAGAGAGAGAGAGAGAGAGAGAGAGAGAGAGAGAGATAGAGAGAGAGAGAGAGAGAGAGAGAGAGAGAGAGAGAGAGAGAGAGAGAGAGAGAGAGAGAGAGAGATAGAGAGAGAGAGAGAGGAGAGAGAGAGAGAGAGAGAGAGAGAGAGAGAGAGAGAGAGAGAGAGAGAGAGAGAGAGAGAGAGAAGAGAGAGAGAGAGAGAGAGAGAGAGAGAGAGAGAGAGAGAGAGAGAGAGAGAGAGAGAGAGAGAGAGAGAGAGAGAGAGAGAGAGAGAGAGAGAGAGAGAGAGAGAGAGAGAGAGAGAGAGGAGAGAGAGAGAGAGAGAGAGAGAGAGATAGAGAGAGAGATAGAGAGAGAGAGAGAGGAGAGAGAGAGAGAGAGAGAGAGAGAGAGAGAGAGAGAGAGAGAGAGAGAGAGAGAGAGAGAGAGAGAGAGAGAGAGAGAGAGAGAGAGAGAGAGAGAGAGAGAGAGAGAGAGAGAGAGAGAGAGAGAGAGAGAGAGAGAGAGAGAGGAGAGAGAGAGAGAGAGAGAGAGAGAGAGAGAGAGAGAGAGAGAGAGAGAGAGAGAGAGAGAGG